ATCTAATTTATAATTAAAAAGAGATCAAACACTATTTGTTAAGCTGAAACTAAGTTCTACAAAGTTGATCGTCTTAAGAAATCAGCACGATTTAGCTTTAATAGCGGTTTTTGTTGTTGGTATATCCTATAGCTTTTAACAAAACCAGCTTGAACCCATTTAAAATGGCTAAAAAGGGTATATTGATTTGAGCAAATGTATGTAACAGGCAGAAGTTAGCAACTCCGTCCTTATAAAGTAACAGCCGAGTCGTTAAAGGCTATTTTACCTACCTACTATAAATAAATCTAATATAAACAAAAATTATACCCAAATTTAAAGTATTTTTTGGAAACCATATTTTTCGCCGATAACAATATATTTTAGTAAACATATTTTTCGCCCATGTTACCCTATATTTTACTAAAGTACTGTGCCATTTATGCATAAAAGCCAAAGATTACTTTCAATAACAGACATAATATAATTGATTTATATCCCATTTCATATCAAAAACATTCCGCATTGATTATAATTACCGTGTTCTACGGAAAAGAATTATTTTTGATATGAAATAGGATATACGAATTGCATGCGTATTGAACAATTTAATCTATGCAAAAGGCTATTCAGACAAAATAAGCGAAGAGTTAATCTGTTATTTCAGTGTAAATACATGATCTGCCAGTACTCATATAAAACACAACAACTACGCAAATACACATCGATGGATTTGTCATTTGTGTGGCACGTTTGGCAATGTGTGTCGTGGCAAACCCAAGCATAGAAATTCAACTTTTGTTTGCATTCGCAAAGTATTCAATAAGCACTCTGCGCCGCCGACTGCTTTAAGTACTTCTCCTTTTGTTACAGTTTATGAAATTTAATCGAAACTTTCCGATGGACTAGGGGCCCTTTTAAAGCGAGATGGTTTTCAAAAAAATTTAGGTAGATTTTTATTACAACATTTTCAGAATTGTAAAATTTTATTTTGTTATTTTTGGGGTCCGGGTGAATATTTACGGCAAAATTTAAAAAAAAATTAATAATTTAAATGCAAAAAGCTTTGTTTTACAGAAAAGTCAATAGATTGAATAGAACAATTGCGTTATTAAACATTACAAAAATATCAATATCTTGGTAAAAATTCAATTTTTACGCCGAAGGATAGGACAAATTAAATTTTTCACCAAATTTTGATTTGAGATATTCAGGAAAAATCCAGTAAATAAATGAAGAATAGAGAAGATACCTCGTAAATGCAAGGAGCATAACAAAACTAATAAATGCCGAAGTTTAATAAGAATATCTTGAAAATCAAAAAACTTGTTCATTAAAGAACTTATTTTTCGACGTAAGCTTGAATGTCTATAACATTATTGTTTATTCAGAGATTTTCAAAAACAATAGCTTGTGAGACATATAATGTGTACAGTACTTAATTACATTTATACCTATATATTGTGTATAAACCTATCTATTAGTTTGCCATGGGTTTGCTAAAGCCTTCTGGCAATCGGTTGATATAGTCGTAGAATATAGACAACTAACCCCCAAAAGTGTCAGAAAAAAATATATAAAATTTTGATAATTTTAAAAATATATCCATTTCGTTCTTGGTAGCAATAAATCTACCAAAACAATAAATATAAAATCATCAATAAAATGCTCTTTCATAGTGGTGGCAATTGTGCTCGTGACATTGAACCCTGACGTTGTCAGTGTTATTGACGCAGGGATTCCTGCTACGTCGTATATTAATTATGGTTTTGGTCAGCTTCTGTCTGTTGACCATAAATTAATTACAAAGTGTTAATCAAAGTGTGTGTGTGTGTTTATGTGTGTTCATGAAAGTTCAGTGTACACCAAATTAAGCAATTATCTGCATTATTTATTTGACGGGAAACATTATTATTAAACATTGGCATTTCGAATTATCAAAATTAACAGTCACATCCCACAAAATCATCGGCGGAATTTGGAGCAACTGTTTTGCATTTTGACATCGGCCAAGTGGGCGTCAACTGGCTGGCTTTGCTTATTTGACATGCACGCCCTGAACAAAAATAAAAATTTAAATTGACTTTCGAATGCCTGCGGTGCAAATTGTAACAGCAACAAAGGAAGCTCGCATCAGGGCACAGCCGAAGGCCGGAACAAAATGTTGCCAGTTTTCTTAAACATTGTATATTTAATTTTTGCTCTTGATTTAGCTTTTTAATCTCGTTGCGATGCACTGAAGCATATCTATCCAGGCGCACCACCCACCCTAGGGAGTTGATGATGACGTCGCTCCATATGCAAATTGTTGCTTACGAACTGCGTCATCCTTGGCATTTCGTAGGCAATTCAAGGGTAGATTGGATCATTTAATGCTGACGCATATATGCAAATGTTTGTCTAGTCCGAGGTCTGTTCAAGCTCAGTGATTACACAGGCCAAATCCTTTTGCTATTGTGCATTAGCTCACAATGGATAAAGCGTGTTTTGCTGATTCACCTGATCATCCTTTAGTTTGAGTGTTTCCATCGTATAACGTTGCCATTTCCCGGGGCTGCTCAATAACCCGTCAAAAGCAGCACAGAAATCGACTTATTTTTAACACCATTCAACGCAGCACAAACTAACAAAATTGTCTGACAGTTTCTGTATGCCCCGCTTCGTTCCGATCCCTTGGCAATTTGACCTTTTCCATGCGCGCTCTCTCGAATTCCATTCGGAGCAGACAAATGGACACCCATTCCGCGTTCCAGCTCAACCGAAATGAACAAAAGTTTTATTGTGCTGCGTGAACTCTTAGAAGAAACGTTGATTTCGCATTCACAAATATTTTTGCTACATTATGTTCGAGTTATTTTCTTGCTCCTGCCGGCGACAGTTTTCACAGTCGTGATGGCCCACCGGACCAGTCAACAACCGGCGACTTATTGGTGCAGACGTTTTCTGCCCATTTCCCACAGTCTTTAATTAATAATCTCGTCTCTGGGACTATGAAAAGAACTAATTAATAATGAAAGCAGAAAAACATTAAGTACACTATTAAATATAATACCATTTCAGTTATAAATATCAAATATAATGCAGCAGCTGTGGAATATACGCATTTGGTCTTACATTGAGAACCGTATTAAGACCTAAGCCAACTAACCATGTAGCCAGTGTGTTATAAAAAACTAGATTTATAGATTATTACTTTATCCAACCAGAGAAGCAAGAAACTTAAATTTTACAGGAGCTTTGTTTTGTGTCCAAAGTGAACATAAATATTAACGTCAGAGAGGGAAATGGCCAGTTCAAATTCAACAGCAATTTTAAGTGTTCACACTTATTTATTTAATTTGTTATTATCCAAGAAAATATAATTTATGAGGGATCTAGGGTTTGATTCCCTCCTCGTGTTTTCTGTTAGCGAAAGACCATAATCAAAAGTAAGTATTACTATTAAAGCAAACTTTAGCCTACAGTAACAACAATATAGTAATACTTCTAGATTTAAATAAAATGTAGCTTTATTAAATTAAAAAGTAAAAATTTAAATTTTTTTACTTAAAAATAGCCCCGTATAATGCTATAGAATTTACTCTCAAACGACACAATTGACCAGTAAATAAGCCTATTAACCAATTGATATTAAAAGCCAGGAAAATTATGTTGTTGATATCATTTAAAAAAATAAATTGCACCAAAATGCATACAATATTTGCTTTAAAGATGAATTCAAGCAGAAAATATTTCGCATATTGGTCCGTTAAATATTTTAATAATTAGCTTCCAGCAGTGATTCTGATTTCTGATTCATATTTTCATAAAAATAATTATATTAATGCCATATCGACTTTATGTTAAATTTTAAATATTGCATCCGCAAGCCGTAATGCATATTAATTCTTGAAAATCCCATTTGCTAGCTGACGAATAAATGTTGAATTATATTCATATTATTCATATTATAATTCATATATTTCGCATCGGTTATATATGATCCAATTGTAAATACGAAATATGCAAGGTTCATTTCAATAGCCTGTGTGATTGCTCGCCGACTGACCTTATGAAACAATTTAACATTTAAGGTCCCATTGGCTGAATTTAACCACAAAACTCTTGCTCCGACGCCACTTTATAATTCATGGCCCTCGACGTTTATCGCATAATTTCGTTCTTCCCACCCAAGGCTGTGCGTAACTGTAGCCTTATCCTCTTGCTGCCAGTCAGCGTAATTCGCTTCACTTTTGCACTTTTGTTGGCTTATTAAATATTAACGCAATTTCACTTTGGCCAATTACACTGCAACCCATCCGCATCCGCATCCGTATTCGTATTCACATTCACAGCCGGAGCGTTGAAGGCAACGCGTCTCTCAATTTTATGCAAATGTTAATGGAACTGTGCACCAGCGGACCAATGCCAAGACTGGGCGGAGCATCAAGCGCATTTTTCTTACTTTAAAGGATGGAGGGTACAATTTTATAGCTATATATCTATTCGCATTCGCAATCGATAAGCAAAGGTTGCTCGTTAAATTCGACATGGCATAAAATTCTTATGCAAATTCGAATTTTATTCTTTTTTATTTTTTTTTACTAATTTTTGTGTGCCCATTTATTTATTTGGCGCACCTGAGCAGCGGTCGCCCTTTGTGCTGGCCAAGTCAATAATACACGAACGAACAGACACTTGACCGTCGGAGTCGACAAACCCGACATTTGTCCGTCTATGCAAATGCAAAACGTCGCTGTTTGTTCTCCGTTCGCCGTTCGAAAGGTTAAAGTCCGCCAAAGCACTTTGTATACAAATGCAAATGACAAATCGATGAGTAATTGTTGCTCTTTCGCTTCAACTTAAATTTAAATTTAAATCGAAATTGATACTGAAATTGAATTTCTGCGCTCAAACGATTTCGATTAATTTCGCTTGCATGCGATATATCGATAGTATTTCACGCAAGCGATCAGCTGTGATCTGCAGAAAATACCTAAAAAATACCAAACAGCTGTGGAGCGAAGTTTATTGTCGCTATTGTTGTTGCTGTTTGTTTACGTCGACTAGTGGACTTTGGCTGCCATCGCGCTTTGTTTTCAATTACCGGCTTAAATTGCGAATAATGTTTAGATTAAAAGTGCATAAGAGCCGCTTTGGCGCCGTTCTGGCTGCAACGCGCAACTCTACAACAACCACAACACATGGCAATCATTATCAATATCTGCAGAACTCAAAGCTGCCCACGCTCTATTTTCAGCGGTCGCTGCCGCGTTTGCCCATACCGCTGCTGGAAAAGTCGTGCGAGCGATTTCTGGCCGCCGTGCAGCCCATACTCAGCGCAGAGGAGCATCGGGAGACGCAACAGGTGGTCGAACAATTTCGCCAGGGCGTCGGCATGGAGCTGCATGCGAAGCTGAAGCAACGCGATGAGGCCAACAAGCACACCAGCTACATTTCGGAGCCCTGGTTCGACATGTACCTGACGGATCGAGCGCCCCTGCCGCTCAACTACAATCCGCTTCTGGTCATGCGAGGCGATCCGAGGCCAGAGTATCAGCCACAGGTGACGCGTGCCACAAATTTGATCATCAGCTCGCTTCGTTTCTGGCGCTCGTTGCAGGCTAATATTCTAGAGCCAGAGGTCTATCACATGAATCCCAAGAAAACAGACACGGCCAGCTATCGGCGCTGGATGGCTATCGCGCCGAAAGCCTTTGCCACATACGCTTCGTATGCATTCAAGGCCTTTCCGCTGGACATGAGCCAATACAGCCGCCTGCTTGGCACCACCCGCATACCGAAGCTGGGCAAGGACGAGCTGGTACAATCGCCGCACTCGAAGCACATTCTTGTCATGCGACGCGGCAATATGTATGCAATGAATGTGCTAGACAGCAGCGGTTACATTCTGAGCCCGAGCGTCATACTGGGTCGCCTGAAAAGCATTCTTGAACAGGACTCGCAGCGGGAACCGGCAAGCGTGCCGCTGGGTGTGCTCACTACCTCTCAGCGCAATGACTGGGCCCAAACGCGAGCTCATTTCGTCAGCAATCCAAAGAACGCTGATCTGCTGCAGCGGGAGGTGGACGCAGCGCTGTTTTGTCTGTGCCTGGACAGCGTGGAGGATGGCCTGTTCGATGAGACCAACCCGGTGCCCATGTTGAAGCATCAGCTGGCGGGCAAGGCAACGAATCGGTAAATGCTTAGCTTAACCTAGCGTTGAATTGCTAAAGATCGTTATTTTTAATGCCAGCTGGTTCGACAAGTCCCTGTCGCTGTTGATCAGCGCCGACGGCATCACGGCCGTCAACTTTGAGCACTCCTGGGGAGATGGCGTCGCTGTGCTCCGCTACTTCAATGAGATCTACAAGGACATGCTGCAGCAGCCATTTGTGTCGGCAAGCACGCCGCATACACCAGCTGATGGCGATACTAGCAATGTGCGGCCGCTGAACTTTGAGATCGATGAGAGGACGCGTGCCGCTGTGGAGGCAGCTTACGCACAAAATGCCAGCATTGTTGAGAGTCTGGATATGAATTATTTGCAGTACAAGCAGCTTAATAAGGGCACCTGTAAGCGACACGGCCTGAGCCCCGACTCCATCATTCAGCTAGCCTTCCAGCTGGCCTACCGTCAGGCATTTAAGCGCTATGTGGGCACCTACGAGTCCTGCAGCACATCAGCCTTTCGACACGGTCGCACCGAGACAATGCGCCCCTGCACAATGGCCACCAAAGCCTTCTGCGAGGCTGTGCTGCAGCCAACGCAAAGGCAGCCCAGCTCGGGAGAGCTGCGCGCTATGATTGATAAGTGCAGCAGCGTGCACGGGCAGCTGACCAAGGAGGCGGCCATGGGACAGGGCTTTGATCGTCATTTGTTTGCCCTAAGGCATACGGCACAGCTGGAGGGGCTACCGCAACCGGCGCTGTTTGAGACTGAAGCTTACAAACGCATCAACTATAACATTATAAGCACCTCCACGCTGGGCACCGATACTGTAGTAGCCGGTTCCTTTGGTCCCGTGGTCAAGGATGGACTGGGCGTTGGGTGAGCACAAACAGACATTTCGCCCACATAGCTTTTTGTTCAACAGATTTTCGACTCGGTTGCAGCTACTCCATTCAGAACGATTTTGCGGGCGCCATTGTGACCTCGTACAAGAACCAGGCTCAAGGCAAGGAATTTATAGATAGCCTGGAATCAGCATTCGACCAAATATGCGCCATTATTGAGCGCAGCAGCAGCGCCGCAAAGGCCGAGAGAAGCAACTAAGGAGGAGAGATGTGAACGAGAGATGTGCGAGTGGAAGCGATGCACAGCTTATTGAGTCGAGAGGTCAACGGGACCTCGAATGTAGTTTGAGATTTAGATGGTCGTTAAAAACAAAAGGGTTTAATTTGATGCTTTTACAATGTTACCCAGGTGTCTGATTTTGAATACCTTATTCCAAGCTCTACAATTTTATTGGTTATAGCGCCAAAAGCCATTTGCATTTGCAAATATTTATTTACATGGATTTATTTATTTGGTTGAATTTATTGAGAGAAAAAATAAACTTGTTACTGTCCTGGGTCAGATTTACGCTTTAATTGAAGCATTTGTCGTAGCTTTCAATATGCAAAACTTTGCCTTCTGTAATTTCCATTCACTTGTTTCATCCAATCCCCGTTCGGGCGCAAACACCTTCATTTAAGATGCAAACACAAACGGGAAGTAGTCACTGATTAGGGCCACGACGACAGCTCGAAACCCCAAAACTTGTGACAACTGCCAAGTTGGCAACTGATTTTGATTTTTGCCCATTCCAAAGAGCGTTTACGCTCTGAAGCAATACAAAGTTTATCAAAATTCTGCCGTTAGCAACCGCGGTGACCCCGACCCCGACCCCGAACCCGTACCCGATGCCAAGCTCGGAACCACCTTTTGCCACCATGACGCTGTCGTTAAATGTGCTGACATTATCAGCTGATTTATCGCCAATTTTGTTGCCAACTGCTTTTCGTGCGAACGTGCATAAATATGGCGCGGAAAATACATAAACAAAATTTGTGCATGGGATAACACGCTGGGCAACATTTTTTACGCCACAACCGGGTGGAGTGGAGGAAGGGGAGAGTCACTAGCTAGGCGGCCTACTTTGAAGGCGCAGTTAAAATTAATTAACTCGCTTAACTGTTGACTGGATTTTCTTTTTTTATACTCTATTCTTAATGAGAAAACGAGCGTATTGGCTTTGTCTGCCAGGCAGAACCCCAATTAGATTAAGTGCAAAGACATGTTTGTCACGCCCACAAATTATATTTTAGCCGTAGTTTCAAAGCCGCAGCTTATAACTTGGCTTCAACTTCTTAACTACATAAGACAATAATCCTGGTACGACCCATTTCAACCCAAATACCGGTGAGTACACAGCATAGCCCAGTCAGAAGCTGCCGTCTGCGACGAGTTACTTTGTTTCTTTCTTTTTTTTTTGACTCAATTTCGCTGGTAATTTACAGTTGATGTATGACAAGAGTATTTCATGGGGCTTTCTTTTCCGAACTTTAATGAGGACCATTTAAAACATACGAAATGCTCGCAGTGGAGCAAGGAAATGGCGCTGGCTGCCACTGCAAGTCATTAAAACAACACTTCCTCTAGACGACGGCAGTGTGGCAACAATTAAAAACGCATTAAAGTGCCGCAGCATCAGCAGGGCAGAGACAGCACAGCGTTGGGGCAAGCAGCTAAGGTTAAGGACTAGAGCAACATGTGTGTGTGTGACTTGTATGTGTGTGTATGATAAATGTGCGGTCGCACATTTGGATTTTATATAACGCACACTCATTAAATTATTCAAAATGAATAAGGTCCGGTCTGTCCATCCCAGCATCAGGCCAGGCCTAGGCAAGCTGGCGCCATAGTTTTGTACGACTTAAGCGCCTGATGGCAGTTCATAACGCATACGACATGTGGTACATAATAACCAAGTCATAACGTGCTCGGCTTCTTTGATGAGCTGAATTCTTGTTGGTTGCCCCTTGATCTGCCACATAAATTAAGTTTCGATAACACGGCGAATGCATATACCCTGGGAATGCGAATTAAATCAATACGATCACCCATAATTGAATATTAATTTGCCTCAAGCGCATGCAGCACGTTTCTATGCCTCATTAGCGAAGGGTTCATGCAAGGATGGGTGGTGCCATTAAAATCTGTGGCGGCTACGCAAAACTTTTGTGCCTTTGCCTCGGCTGATTTATGTGTTTGGCAGTTTGTGTTTGCTATGTTTTTGGTAATTTGAACACTTGACGCCTTAGCGCAGTCTTCAATTTGCGGCTGCCAAAGCCACCGATTCGCGCCAAACAGACCGCAAACCACATTTTCATGATTTTTAGCAGATTCACGTTGTGCCTGTCTGTCATCGGGCGATGCGGCGTATGCGCAATCTTTGCATCACGGATTGAACAGGCAAATTGAACGCTCAAGCTCAAAGCAACTGCCAATTAATATGGAAATCAGTGTGGTCATTTATTTGGCCAAGTGTGTATGGGGCTGTTGAGAGCATATTAATTAAATGCTTATTATGACACCGCCCCCAAAATTAATTGCCTGGACATGTGCCGCACGTGCCGCTGACTCTGCTGACCGTGCTGCTGTGCTGCATCGCCAGACGCCTGTCCGCAAATTATGTTAATTGCACGCCCCAAATTGGCTGCTGCATATTAACCAAACACACGCCCAGCACAGCACAGCATAATTTAGTTACTTGGCAACAAGTTGAACGCCATTTACAAGAACTTTGCCCCGCTGCGAGGGTTCAATAAACGTAGCACGGAAATCGTTGCATAGTTCTGTGCGCCTTAAACGGACGTTACGGCAAATTGTATTGCGATTTAATAGCTGTCGCTGACGCTTTAAGTGACAATTGAAGCAAGAAGCAAAATGTAAAATAACACGTGTGCCTCGCAGCTGGCAGGTGCTGGCAGGCATGGCCTTATGCAATTAACATCAAATTTATGAGCAATTCAAGGCAAAATGTCTACACACGCACTTAGCACCCAACACTCGCAGCCCAATTTTACACAGCTGACATTTAGATAGCATTTAATTTAATTGATATGGCCCGAGGCTGGCAAAACAATGACAACAAAAAAAACAAGTCCAGACGGCAAACATTTATTCAATTTATATGCCATTTATGAGCGCGTGCATATGAAAAAACGAAATAAATAATTTAACACTGCGTTACAAGCGATTCGCATGATTGTTTGAGCTCTTGAGCTGCGACAGCAAATGCTTTCAACTAAACGTCACATGCAGGCAATAGGCAAATAGAGTTCAACCAAAAATAGCACAAAAGCGAACTAATCGCAAATAATTATTTATCAAATTAACAAAACGCGGCGAAAATAAAGGAAAGACGCACGCAAAAACAATCCCAAATTGCTGCAGACGACAAGAAAGGAAATTGCTCAATGAAATATAATAATATTGAGCTACAGATTGGATAAATATTTTCGTTAAATATTTACCGATTTATTTTGTTATCGTACGTACGTATGTTTATTTTCTGCATGGCAACGCGCCAGCAGACAAAATGTTGATATTTCTCTGTCTGTGAAAGAAGCCAAAAAGAAACGTGAGGAATAATTTTAGTAAAACAAACGACTATCCGTTGACCTGGAATTAATTTGAATTTAAGCAGCTATAACGATAAAAATCGAATGATTTACAACTTAAGCGGTAATTTCTAAAAGTTCTTATTAAGTACTTTTTTTATTACAAACTTAACAAAGATTTTGTTCAAAAATGTGGATATTGTTTTGAAGCACTTAGACATATAACTGTGTATTCATGAAATTTGTCCTTCAAAGTAGTAAAGTTGACTAGATGCCTATAGACTGTTATATAAGATATTGCCATTTTGTCCATACATCCCTCGCCCTCTTTTTATTTCCACACTGGCTATCTGATATATAAAAACTTTTACAACTAAGAAAACGAAAAATTCAGTCCATATAAAAATAAAACTTTAAGCACACTGACGACACAGTGGACGTTGACATACGACTTTTGCCTTATACAATTAAATAAGCCCTAAAACTTATCTAATGTTAAAGTATATGTGTTATAGCCTGGCGGCAATTAACATCGTTAAAAACCCATATACACTATCTCCCCATGGTTACAGAGTATAGAGCAAGTGAAATACAGCATTTAAGAGCCAACTTGGCAGCCGCAACAAACGTTTCACGTGCCCAGCCACAAAAGTTGCCAAGCACACACACACATACATGTTCACGAGGCACAAAAGTTGCCGGAACTCATCAAATGTTGCACAGTCGCAAATGTTGCTGAAGTTAGTAAATGTTGCAAAAAGGATAAATGTTGACAGCTAGTCAATGTTGCCAAGACACTTGTTGTGCGCATCATGTTGAGATTTGTTGCATATTAAATTCGTATTTACCTAGCAGCTAAAAGTAATCTTCATTAACATGGCAATCAGGTGTGTGTGTGACTATATTGTGACATTGTTGTATTGCCAGATTGTGGACAGGACAATGCGCTTTGTATCACGTGCCGTGACTTATCTACACAATAGAAGAACTGAAAAGCGGAAGACCATAAGGGCAGCTATGGAGCGTTTACCACATTGACGATTAACTCGGTGCAACTCAAAGGACCTAGGCAATTAACTTGAGCTACGACAAGCAGCAGAGTCAACTGTGACATACACACACACACACACACACATGTGAGTAAACACAGCACAGTCACATTTGAGCTGTATCTATTGTGCATGTCGCACATGTCGTATACGTGTTTAGAGTTTCCTTATTGTACGCTACACTTTTATTCTCATTCCGTGGCCAGCCCCAAGATATTCCCACTCACGCCCCCTCCCTGACTTATCACCCAGCTTGCCATTTTCATTTGGGTGTTGCGCACGCAAGCGGAAAAGGAATAAGCTGACAGTGCCGTGCCCTCCATAAGGATGTGAAGAATGTTTGGGTCTACTCACAAATTCAGTTAATGCTCGCTGTTTCGGTGGTAAAGGGGGAATGTATGGGGTGCAGGAGTTAATTCAATTTACAGCTGATGTGCCAGTCGGCCGCCACTTTGATTGCCTTATAACGGGCACAGCGCAGCGCAAATTATGAGCTGCCCGCTTATCACCAGCCATTTGGATGTGTAATTTATGCATTAAATTTGCATTTTCCAAACGAATTTTGCATATGATCTGTGTCACGTTTAAAGCTTCGTGCAAAAAAACAACACCCACTCGACCC